GACAGAGGCTGACTGAAACCCTGGGGGTGAAAAACATACAGGTGGAGGCATGTGAAGCAAGTGAAATGAGCGTTGGGACTGAAGGCAGACTAACTCAGCACAAGAAAAACGGGAAGGGAACAAGCAATTGGATAGGTGCTGGGGGATGCAGGAGGGACTGAGGAGAGCTGAGAGAAGCCAGGGGAGAAGGAGACAGAGGGGCAGGGTACTCTGGAGTAGGAGCAATGCGGAGGGAGCTGTGGTCTGGTAGGTGGGGAGAAAAGGCAGATTGAAGGCTCCCATGAAAGACCCCCCACAGCACTGTTTTTAACCAAGGCAATAACTGAGCCCTGATACCCTAGTTGCTACTTTTCACTTTCAGCAAGCGGTTGTGAAGCCTACCAGGCAAATAAGCACCCCTCCATCTGCTAGCCACTGCTTGACCAACTTGTTTACCCCCATTATGTGCAGTTTTTGCATGGGCAGCAGTGATCTCGGAATAGATCCTGAATGTCTGGGAATCAGCATGGTCCCACATAATTATTTACTTTGATTTTCCTCACTGCCGCCTTTGTAGGGAGTTGGGGGGAGGCTTTTTTGTGTTGTTTCTTTCTTTCTTTCTTTTTTTTTAATTACAAAATAACATTTGAAACACAATGCATTAAAACTACTTGATGTTTTACCACACAAACATAATCTCTCTGAATGCTGTTACAGAGAGGATCCAACACTATTTGGCAAGTGCTTTGCAAAATAAATCAGCTAGAACCTGCCCCCCTCATCCCCATGGAACCAGCCCAACACCCTAACTTGTCAGCAGAGCTTATCTCCCATGTTTGCATTTATTGTAGCTATTTGCAGCTTTAAAAATACTCTATTTATGTTCTACTAACTTCCAGACAAGCTGTCCTCATCTCTCTCTGGGAAGGCAACAATGGCTCAGAAGACAGCAGTCACATCCTGCATACCTACGCCCACTGGCGCACACAGCAGCACTGCATATACTTAAGCTGTCTCTAACATGCATAATTTTCCTTATTACTAAGTACTCATCTCTTCCCTTTTCAATGCCTTTAAAATAAAAGATTTATATGTGCCTGTGTACACACAGGAGAAGAAAGAGGGAGGGGAAAAAAAAAAGTGAGGGGAATTGATTTGTCTGCCTCTAGATCCCCCAAATAAGTCTTGTGCGATCTCTTCAGATTCAGGTCCAAAGCCTACGGAGGTTATCAGTTACTAGTGTGGCACACAGAATATTTTGGAGAATAATTGTCATCTATATTTCTACATTTAAAGTATATCTGTAATAAGTGTGTCATGTGGCACAGGCATCTCTCTAAGGGGGTGCTTTACAGTTTGCCATGCAAACTCTGTCATATTTAATCTCTTCAGAAATGAAGGATGTGTTGCATTTAACCCATGTAAGCTAATAAAATTTACATTTCTTAAAAAAAAAAACCCAACTTATCACTGCTTTTTAGAGTTATTATTTTCTGTTACATATAGTAATATCAGCGAATCTTCAAGGCATATTAATTATTTTTCACTCTGTGCCCTTATATCAAGTACATCTGCTTTTCAGAAGATGTGATCTATCAAACCAGAAGTTGCTGTATATGATCCATAGTTTCTTTTCTTGCATTTGTGTCAATCTGGAAAGCTGTGACAGTCTCTTTTGAGTTTATAAGCTGTGTGTTTATGCTAAGGATGGGAATCATTAACATCCTAAAAGTTTTAAGGTTTCTTTGAGGTAAGTCACCTTGATTTTTACTTAGCTTTTCCAGTTTTCTCTCTTAGTTTCTCACTGGTGAAAAGAGGCCAGGTATTTAATGAAGGTGACTTTTTTTGCGTGACATATTACACTAATGAGTTTTGTTCTGTTGAGGAGTAACATTCAAATATCCCTCCTTGGGATTATTTTGATATTTCCATTTCCAGCCTAGACTAGGAAAAAGGAGGAGAATGCATGAGATGAAAGAAGTCATTAATTGTGGATTTGTAGAATTCAACAGAAGTTTGTCTTTTAGTTGGACTTCAGTTTCTAATCAAAATTTTAAGTAGTCTGGCTGGGTAGTTCTTTGGCGCTTGAGAATATGACCTATGACCATCTCAAACCAACACCAATGTGAGGATTTTACTATGTTATAAACTGTTGATGAAATTGTATTGAAAGTCTAAAAATAAGTGATATTTCATGATGCTTTGTGTCTTTGAGCACCCTCGTATTCTTTTTTTTTTTTTTCCTTTCAAACATAGATTTGCAGATGGCACTGGTACAGGGACAAAAGAAATTACTGACTGGAAAATATCCCATGGGCAAAGGGCAATTTCTTACCCGGAAAAGAAGACTTTGCCTTCAGAAAAAGAAAAAAAATTGTTTCTGCTATCTATGTGACCATTTTATCACATGGGAGTTGTAATTCCAGTTCCTTGTTGTGTCCCTTTCCTTCTAGTGAGCCTTGCCCCTCAAGCGGGTAACTGTGCACTGTGCTTGTTCAGCCTCAGGGAAGGCCTGCGGCGTATCGTGGGAAACCGGGGCTGACTGGGGGTGGGGGTGAAGGAAATGCCAAATCTGAGGCAGTGTTCTGTTTAAAAGGCCTTTTTTTTTTTTTTTTTTTTTTTATTGAGTCAGCTGCCTACATCAGGGATTTGGAGTGTGCAAAACTTAAGAAAGAGAAATGGATTGTTCTAATAACAAACTGCATGAGATCGAGCCTTTCTTTGAATTATTTCAAGAATAATGAATCCTACAAAAGTCATTTTTCAAAAACATCAAAGAAATGCAATATATTAAACTTATTTACTTAAGTCATTTTCAGCCAGCTCCTAAGAGACCCTGCATACAGTGGAGCAGGATACAAAGACAAATGCAATGAAACATTTTAATATTTCTATCCTTTAAACTTTTCATTTGGCAAAAAGTTCTGATAGTTTGCGTTTTGATATTTGTTCAAGACAAAAACAGATGTCAAAACATAGTGACTTCCTTCATAGCAACAGCTTATACTTTTGGTCAGCTTTAATGGCTTTTGGAAGTATCGTCGCCTTCAGATAGGGTGCATTCTTGTCTCATTCTTGAGAATAATACTTCCATTAACATCTTCATTACTTTCTTATACGTTACTTGCCCTTCTCAAATATCCTTGTACTTGTATATTCCCATACTGATGCATTTTCCAATACAATTATTGCACTCCTTCAGTAGACTTTGACATTGCAGAATGACAGTGCTGTCATAAATACTAGAATCCCTGGATGAACAGGATTGGAAATGGTCAGCAGATTAAGAATGTTTGCTTGAAGTTTACTCTTTGGTTTGAAGTAGTGGGGGAAAATATTTGCATAAATGAATTTTTAATAGATACTAAAAATAAAAAGCTGCTAAAGAAAATATAGCTTGTCTACATTATCATGCGATTTTAATTATGCAAGCATTGATGTTCTTTGTGTATTTTGACTTAGGGCCATGTGAGACGCATGAGTGAACTGTCACTCATGCAGAGTTAATTATAATTTGTCCATATAAGGAAAAAAACCCCTGGGAAAATGTGATAACACTTTTCATTGGCAGTAAACACTAGTTGTTGTTAGTCATTTGAGAAAATTATTCTTAGCAGACGATACAAACTCTGTAGTTCAAAGTGGTCCCTGAAAAGAGGTGTATTAGCACATGGCTGGATCCACTACAGGAACAGATTTTATTGACTAAGGAGCTGTATCCTTCTGTACCGTAACATTTATTTCATTTTTTCTTTCCCTTCAACAAGATAATACATTTTGATTCGGTGTTTGGCAATCCAAGCCAGGTTATTTAAAACAATATTCACCTGGAATGTGCTATTTTTAGAGCAGTTACTTTTATGCAGCATTGCAAACGGAAATCTTTATTTTCCCGCATGTAATACAGAACCAGTTTGTAAAGAGTCTTGAGACTTTGCACTTCTCCTTTCCCCAGGTAAGTGGCAAATAACTAGTTGTCACTGACACGTAGGGCAACAAATGGATAAAGCAAGCATGGATTCTGAGATCTATAATTTTTAATAATTTTTAAACTAGCTACAAAATGTCAATCACTTCACAAACTGACAGGAGACATAAGGAATTTCATATTACATGCTGTAAATGATATTTAGCTCACAGTTTATCTAGAGTTCATTCATTTAGGTTTTTTAGTTATTTTTAATTAAGTCAGCTACTAAACATCTCAGCGATTTGGTGTGCATAGCTCTAGGTAAGCAACAGAGAACTGTACCGTTAACAAACCACATGGGGATAGCGACTAGTAAGAGAGAGCCTTATAAAAATTACATTTCTTTGCACCATTTCATATGGTAGTCGTTTCCTCCAAAAGATAGTCTTCAAAAGCAGCAGACAAACCCAATATATTACACTTATTTCTTTTTGTCTTTGACATGTTTTCAGCCAAGCTTTTATTTTGCTGGCAATGGCTAAATGGTGAGTGCCAAATCCCTCTTTTTTTCATAATTAAAAAATGATCATGATTAATAACTATATATATATATCAACAAGAAAAAAGTGGCACAACTGCAAACTTGCTGGTATAACATAGTCCCAAAAGAGTCCGAATACTGAGCATGCTTTTGTTGTCATTGTTGGTGTGCTACTGCCATGGGAAAATTCTTGTTTAAGTAGGAGTCTAAAAGTCTATTAATTCCTCATGCATAAATGCATAAATCACATCACTTTTTAGTGCAATGCTTGTTATAGTAATATAATTCCACATTGTCTAATCATGAAATCATAACAACAGATAATGGCAATGAAGAACTGAAGACAGCAGGTTTAAGTGCTTAAACATCATGATATCCAAAGACAGGAGCATGGCAGTAGCTCTGTGGAATGTCACAGTTTTACAAGAACAATACTGTATATTTAAAGGTTAACAGCACGTTTAGCATTCCAACAGTGTTGTCATTCAGCAAACATCATTTAAAAAAATATATGAGGAGAGGGGGGTAAAAAGGAAAGGAATCCAAAACAGAAACAAGGAAAGGAAAAATCCCAAAAAAATCATAGTGAGCTATAGCCATCAAATCAGCACTATGTACAACCTTTGGAAAGAAAGATATCTAGAAAAAAATAATTACAAGTATCATTTTTGGAAAGCTGACAAACTACACAGGACAACATTTACAATGGGGCTGATATGTGCATGTGTGCAAACCTAGTAGGTAAATACCATGATAAAAGCATGAAGGTACTGCCCTGTTGGACAGCGTTAAAAGGAAATGCACTTCACTGCATTTAACCACTGCCCAGCATCTTTGTTGCACGCTGGTTGGCTTCATCAATCCTGGTTTTGTTGGAATCAGCCTAGGGAAACACAAAGGAAAGAAACAGATGAATAGAGGGCAGAAAGAACATCTACAATGCTTTGTGGACACTTTCTCTAGTTTTGGCTAGGTCAGGAAAAAAAAAAAAAAGCAGCTTGAAAATACCAGAGAGCTGTTTTTTGTAGTGGTGCTAGGGAAAGGAAATTACAGATTTGCTGGCTTTGTGACACTTCAGGTAGCCTTTGAGTAGAGCTTTTATGTTTGTGTTCAGCTTCACTGAACTCTTGTAAATGCTGTGCCAGATCTGCTGCTATTGATAGTGCTAGCTGTATTGATGGTCATGGTTGAGAGGATGAGAACTGATGATGTGCACGTGGATTTCACTGGTGAAAAGCTTCAGTGCTCTCCAAGATTCAGTGGACCTGGACTCTGTTCTAATTTAGCTTACCAGAAGTGCAGTCAAAACTAAAATTTTGGTCAGTGCAGAGAATCGCTGGAGAAGGGAAACTAGATCATCTGATGTAAGGAATGCTGGCAAAGATAAATTTCTTTGAAAATACTTCTGTCTGGATCTCTGCTCTATATGTGAAAGGAAGGGAGTAGGTAGGCGTGATGCCATTATTCCTTTCTCTCAACAAAGTTCACCAGTGTAGTTGCAAGACAGAGTAACCTCTCTCACTGGGCAGCATTATAAACAGAAATTAAGAAAAGGCAGGGATTCTACCATTATTTGAAGCAGTCAAGGTGGAATTTAGTCCAGTGTAGGCTGAACCATTAACTTCACTGTCTTCCACGGGGTAGCATTTGCCATGATTATAAAATGCAGTTAACAAAACGGCACGCACTGGGAGGTTTAGGAGTTCTGTCTGAGTGGGAAGACACTTTGACCATGGCTTTCTGTAGCTCTGCAGAAGTTAGTTTTAGAGGCTAAAGACATAGTTTTAGCTGACAAAAATTGGCAAAGCTCCATTCAAGCCCATGTTGCTATGCCGACTTATGCTAGTAGAGGGACCAGATAGAAAATGTTTTCAATTTTTAAAATCAGACTTGTGGGAAAGGTGAGAATTGTGTTATGGCTTTAAAAGCATGAACTCAAATAGCAAACTCTTTTCTGTGGTTTGATTGGCTGCATTTTGTTAGCTTTGGCGATTGTTCCCGCATCTCTGGGGTGCATCCAAATTGTACAGATTTATTTTAAATCTCCAATTTGCAAAGACAGAATGGTGAAGCAACTTTCCCACATACATTTAAAAATCCTTTAAAAATGGTTATACTGATGTGCAATAAATCATTCTTAAATATCTTGGGCTTTTCTCCATAATGGTTTTGGCAAATGCAATGTAGATGTGTATTTTTAGTACAGTAGCATGTGTCAAATCCTCAACAAGCGTAAATCAGCATAACTACTCATTATAAGCCACACTCCTTTATTTTAGCCATGAGTGTTGCCTTGCCTACCACAGTACGCTTTTCTGTGCTTTTGCCAAAAGACTACCTAAAAAATTAGTCAATGGTGAAGCAGTTGTGTTTGTCATGAAATACATGAACATTGATTGAATATTGATGAAACATAATGTTCCTATATAAGGATACTAAGGTCTAACTCTGGTGGATGATGTTGCATCAAAGTCAGTAGAAGTCTTTGTGCAGACTTTCACACCTAGGTCAAGACAGAATGCTTTGAGCCCTTCTTACTTTCCTCACAGCCTCCTATTTATGGCTCATTTTAGGGCCAGGGTCTTTGGTGATGATATCTGGGCCATTTGACCTACTCATCACATTATCATTTTAGTTTTTGTCCCATTCTCTCTGATCTGAGGGAAGATTTAGAGCCTTTTATTCATTGCTATCCTGATTACTGTGGATAGATCAGATTACATCCTCTGCATTATGAGATTGCTGTGGTTTGGATGCATGCATCCAGTTTAACATAAATGCTTTAGGAGCATTTGGGTTAGCTTTGTGATGCACCCCAGCTTTTGCAAAGTGTGCCAGCCAATGGTCTTTCTAATGATCATAATTGATCAAAAGCACAGTGCTCCAGCTGGTCAGGAAAAGAAAACAACTCCAGCAATGCTGTGTGCCCACCGCCAGCTAGAGACGATGGTCTTTTGGCCTAGTTCATTGCAAAATGGATGCGCATGCATTTGTGGTTTCAGTATTATCTGGCTCACCGTCATTTCGGTCTTTTATAGAGGAGTTTTCCTAATATATTGTATTTCTTTTTCTAGTATCCCATTACTATGTGTCCTTACTGTGAGAATTTTGGCAGATTTTCACTAAGACTGAAGACTGTCTTGCTTTAGTGCTGCTTTCATGACAACTCCTCTGTGTACACGGCAAGTCCACCTTTCAGAAATGTGTCACTGTTCTTTAGCAAAGGGCTCTGCCTGACCAAGGCCTGCCTGTGAGGCTGGATTTAATGAATCACATTAGCTTGCACTGTTGTTTTTCTATTGCTGCATGAAATGCCCAACTCCGTAAGCAGACCACATGAAGGCCAGTCCCTCAAATAGCCAATGGCTCTCAGCATGCACTGCCTAGAGGTTTGGCCCAGGTGCTTCATTTGCACAAAGGGCCTGTTCAATGTTTTCAAAATCCAGATATTTGCAAGCCTGAACTGATAGGAGAACAGTGACTTGTTAGGCTTGCTCTAGTCTGTGATAGTATCCTGCAGGCATGGATAGGACACAGCCGATTTCCGTCCACAGGACATGTCTCCTGCCACTATGTTGTCATGAGTAGGGTAGCTGGTAACGTGTAATGTCCTCATAACGTGCATGTCCTCATACTTGCTCTGAGAAAATATGTCCTAGACTTCTTATTTAAAGGTAGTTATGATGTAGGCTGTATAATCTTCCAGTCCCTTCTCGCAATATAGATAGATGTGCTGCTTTGTAGTGCTTTTCATATGAATAACAACAGTAAATCCTTCCCCCACATGCTTCTATTTTTCCCAGAAATATGAAATGCTGCTGAATGGCATCACAGTAATACTGTGCATTTTCCAATGCAGTCAAACTAAAAGATGCAGCTTTATAAAACAAAACGTTTTTGACCGATGCAAAGCCATGTGCATTTGTTATTCACTATGTTATGTGACTGTCTCTCTGTCAGAGATGAACTTCCCACCTTTAAGACAATATATACTTCATCCAGTTCTCTCTGGAATATAACTTTAATAAGGAAAGTTATCTGAGTGAATCCATCAGTGTAGTATTTTCTTTTATTTTTTTTACTAGGCTCTGATGTACTTAATTGACATGAAAAATAGGCATGGGCATCCTGCTCGTGTGAGAAGGCTTGCACGTGTAAGAAGGCTCCAGAGTACAAGCTCTACCACTTAAGGTCAGAATTAACTCTAAGCAGCATATATAAGTCCTTGGGTTAGATCCTCAAGTTGTGTAAATCTCAGCGGAATTTGAGCGTTGTATTGATTTTACACCAGATGAAGATCTAGCCTCTTATGTCACTTCAGCCTGGCTGTGCCTGTGTCTGGAGTTCTGCCAGTATGAATGCAGATGGCTTGCAGATCTTGGGATCTGAGGATGGCAGTGAGTTCCCAGCTGGGTTTGGAGGGTGCTGCTATCTGCTTCAGAAATCTGCAATGCAGGTCTGTCACTGGAATGGTGCGCTCTGCCTTTTTAGATGGTGATTTTGCAATAGTAATGCTGAGCTTTTGTATTTCACTGGTACCATGTGGGGCCCAGTTTTACACGCACATATATATATACACACAGTAAAAGAGCTGGTAAATCTCTGTCCTAATGTGGTTATAAGCAGGCAGCACAAGAGTGGCTGCACTGTTACCATATGGCAAAGCCTTGCTTAATAAATCCTCATCGTCTTTTTGGGACTGGTCCTCCGAACAGGTGATCCATTTCTGAATTGTACATGGAGTTTCTGAGGGAAGGGAAAGTCCAGGAAGGTTTAAAACTTGCAAGGAAGCGCCAGGGTGTTCAGACCCAAGCCCTACAGTTCTGCAAAACTTCTCCTTTCCCAAAGCTGTTGCAGAAGGAGCCTTGATTTGTGCTAAGGGGTCCCCTTGCCAGCTGTTGTCTGGCAAACCCAACAGCGTGGGTTCAACCCAACCTGCGCTGGAGGTTACTGAAGATCCACAGCAGCGAGCTCTGCTTTGGCCCAAGGATTTGGAGGGAGAAAAGGGAAGAGTTCTAGCAGCTATTTCTGTCCCTTGTCCTTCACCAAGCTGAAGAGAAACTCCAGCATGTACAGCCTGTGTTTGCAGGAGGGAAAACACAGCCCCTTTTGGGTCCTCTTAGAAATGTCAGCTCTTACCTTCTCCATGATCCTGTCAATCTGGCGATTCTGTGTGTCGATCTCATTGCCCATGTCTAGGGCCATGTGACGTAAGTTGCCAATGATGCCGCTGACCTGCTCGAGGTTCTCATCCATTTCATTTTCCCGGGCATCGTTTGTTACCCTGGGAGCAAAAAAGCAATTCTCTGAAGCACAGACAGAGGGGGTTCCCCCTGAAACTCTGATTTACCCAAAACCTCTCCTGCATCCTCCTTTGCTTGTCACCTGAGGAGCATGCTGCTGTGCTCAGCTTTGAAGAAAAGGGATTGATAAGTAGCTAGCCTGAAAAACATGACATGCTTTTTTTGGATGTTGGGGTTAATTGTCTGGGTTCATCACTGCTCCATTTATACTGCTTGTGTCTGCTGCCCCTAGAAGTGTTGCTGTCTGAGCTTGTCTGTATCACGTACCGCACCCCTCTGCTAGTGATGGTCCTTCTCAGAGAATGAAAGGCTGCTCCATTTGGACCTGTGTGTGGTTTGAGTATGTGGGAAATGCTGCAGGGTGGTGGAATTGAAGCTATGCCAGCTCCCCTCCTTGAACTACAAGTAGCTAATGGATACTGTCCGGTCCTCATGCGCTTGGGATCACTGAAATATTGGGGAATTGCTGCTTCAGCTGTGAAAATCCTGACCTAACATCCTATGTAATTAAATGTATTTCTGGTAAATGACAGAAGCAGCTTCTCTCAGCTTTCTTGGCTTTAGTAAAGACCCTTCACATTATTATTCCTAGCACTGTCTTTTTCAATTGCGTGGTTTTTAGAAGAAAAAAAACTTGTGCTTGAGCCAAGGCCCAGTTCAACTCTCCAGTGACTGGACAAGCATGTCGTGACTGACACTGGGAAAAGCAAGGTCTATGGGTCCCAATCGGAAAATCACTACTTTGAGCCTCTTGTGCAATTTGTGTTCATGTAGCTGCCAAAAGGGTGCCACAGGCTATTTGCAGAACGATTACGGTGTAGCCCTTCACTTGCTATTCTGTTACCATGCCCCAGCCTTCGTTTTGGTGGGGCTGCCATCCAGAAATAATAAAAAAAAAAGTGAATGGCAGAGCCAGCAAACTTAAATGGCAACTCCATCCCACATTCCACGTTGCATGACAGCATTGTTTCTATCACACTGGTTTCCCTTTATCACAGCAGCCAAAAAAGTAAGTGGATAATAGTTTTTGGAAAGATAATTACTTATTAATCCAGTGTCCTTAATCTTCAGAGATCAAAGCTTTGCCTTACTGGTATGCCTTTATCCATTCAGCTGATAGCATTGTCATCTAAATACATGCTCTATAAGCACTGTAATCAGTAGGGACTTATCGCTGGATCCCTATGTATTGTTGGAAGTTTGCAGTTTAGTTGCCGTTCATATAGCTGTGTGTTTCAAACTGGCTTTCATGTGAGTGCACAGGGCTTGCCAGTAAAGCATCGATGTTTCTCCATAGTTGTGGCTTTACAGCAGCTGAGGAATGGGGCATCACTCCCCGTTCAGTGAGGTTTTTTGGATAGTCACGAGCAGGGAAGTGGTGTACCTCTAGTTAAAATTGTGCATCAGGATCTGCACTTGGCTCGGTGCTTTGGCAGGGAGCCTGAGGCAGGAGTGCTGGATGCTTTGGTACATCTTCTGGCAAGCATGGATAATGAGCACTACATATCTTGAGACATAACAATAATAATAAACTAGTATTTATCTGACACTTCATTTCTGAGGCATTTGACAACTGTCATTAATGAGAGTCATAATAAGGCCCCCAGGAAAAGTGCATTGTTCATGCCAGGGAGCTGGAGTGCAGAGGACAGCACTGACTGGCTGTGACAGTCTGCAACCTCACATCGCCGCTATGAAATAAATAAACAGATATTATTTCTATTTTATTATTGCCCAAATCTGGGCAGTCTCAAGGAGGAAGGTTTAAGGCCACGTTTTCAAGCATCTTCTGGTTCTTAGGGCTAAGACCCTTACTTCCAGGGTTTCCGGCAACGTAACCATCCTTTGCACTAGCTCAGACAAGCACCTACAGGGCAAGGGGAAGTCAGTGGACTCAGTGAGCCTTTAGTACCTGTTTCAATCGTCGTCAACCTAAATCTGAGCACCCACCACTTGTTGGAAAACACTGGCTCCATCGCATTTACCCAGCACCACTGAAGGGGTTAACAAGCATCACAAAACTCATGACCATATGGAAGAAATCTAAATATATCAGTGATGAGGAGAAGAGAGAAAACAGTGGATAAAAAGGCTCACCTGCGGATAAAGCCACCACTGATGGCCATCTGCTCCCGTTCATCTACGACACGTGCAGGCTGGCTGGCTACAACACCATCCTGATTATTGCCCCAGGCTTTTTTGTAAGCATCACTTGATTTAAGCCTATGCAAAAAAGATGATGAGTAACAAAGCATCAAGTGGACAAGGACAAATGCAAAAATCTTTACTTCTCCAAGCTAAAAGCTGAATCAAGCAAATGAGTTTTCAGGTAGAAGGTCATTGATTGTATACCGATATATCATAACCCTGAATAAAAGGATGGTTTTGGGTTTTGTTTTTTTTACTTTACTGCCACAACAACTGTGATGGTCAGAGGTTTTGTTCCAATAGGGTGAATTGCAATTGTCAAGTTTACAACACTGCACACAGGTTTTTGCATGTTGACTTAGTTTCCAGAAAGAAGGAGAAGAAAAAAAGGAAAAAGAAAAAAGTAGTGAAGAAATACAGATAAATAGAAAACATTGTTTCATTTCAGTGACACATACATTTTGACATCAAACACAGAGAACGTACTGGCAGACAGACATAAAAACAGAACTGCCAACTGTAGTGTGTACATCACATCACAGCAACGCACCCTTTTAGAGAAAAATGGATTTGGCTAGGTTTTAACATTTTACCATGCAGAAGGTTGAGCTTCTGTTGATGGTTTTTAACATGTATGTGGCATAATAGGCATTTAAAGCCACTAACCTTTACCAAGGTGATTTGGGGATGATTTTATCATAAAATTCATAGGGTTTGTTAGATTTTTCAAATAATATATCGGTACTTGAAAATAGTAATCATACATCGACAGTTGATGTACAAACCTTTGTCCACAGAGACAAAAAGTAAAATAGGCAGAAGTGAAATGAGTGCAGGAGAAAAGGTACGAGCAATCTAGCATCAGAAAGGGAAATTTTTCTACATTTTTCTTCATGCACCAGCTACAGGCATGAATAAGAAGTGAAGCATTCTCACTAAGCACAGTTGCCCCAATAGTTCATCATACTCTTAATGCATCAGCAGTAACAGCCTTCACAATAAGCAAGACACAGGCAAAAATGGATCATCACTTCCTTCAGGAGCTTTAAACCACAGGACTTTAAAATAGCCTAGCAGCTTGTTATATTTGTTGTGTATGACAGTTACATTAGCTTTCAGAGAGCCATTTTTGACTGAGCTGCCATGGATAGAAAATTAAAATCCAGGCATACCTTCAGTGACAGGTTAGCATGTGGAGCATATTTAGAGTTGCTGTCATTGGGGTCGTCAGATGAGATTGAACACTTTAACAGGAGAGTGTGAGTGTTTGGGGTCTGTAGTTGTAAGTTCTTGATTTTATTCTGTAAATGGAGCAGTTTCCAACAAAGCTGTCGGGAACTACAAATCTCCACGGTTTCCCTGTTCTTTGGTCAACTCCAATCGGTCATATGAACAGCCCGTGGCTTGGATTTTGGGGGAGAAACCGAACGTGCTTCTGGGGGATTTGGGAAAGGGCACAACAAATGCATCTCTGGTGTTACATACTCTCCATGCCCCCTGAAGCCGCTTGGTTTCTATTGAGCCTGAAGAGGTGTTACATGCTCCAATGTAAAATTAAAATGTAGATGAAAAGAGGATCTTTCCTACTTTTCCTATTAAAGTTTTTGAAGACTTAGAAAGGTGGTGGTTGGCTTGTTTGTTCTTAGCTCTCTGAATCTATACATCAACTTTGGTGTTCCTAGAAATGAGAGAAAGTAGTTCTCTTGCTGCACATTGCACATACATTTACAGATTTTTGCCTGTTCTGTAGACCTGTGCATCTTTGAGAGCGAGACAATCTCTGTCTTTGAGGTGAATGATTTTATACATCCAGATCTTGATCTCTGTTTTCTTGTGGACTTCCCATTAAAGTCAACAGGTGGAATCTGGGTCTGCACACGGCCAATAGCAGTTGTCCTTTTGAATGCAGTCTGGTCAAAGTTTCATGCCATGGGCATTTTGGGTCTCCTATGAATGTAGGATCAAGCCTTACGTTTTGGTAAGGCTCACAGAGTTGTGTTTACTCTGTATATCAGAGTATATTTATGTGTGAAACGCTTAATCTTTTTAAAATATAAGCCATTAATCTACCACCAGCCAGAAGAGCATTAGGGGATCATGGTGATACTGAAGCCTAGAACGGTATGGATTTCTCTCTCTCCTTCGTTCCACTTTTCAGAATATCATCTTATTCATACTGGTTGAGTCCTGGCATAGTGATTCAAGGAACAGTCTCTAAAAGCATTGTTCATCCATTCTTTGTTTCTGAACACATTGACTGATTAACAATGCTGGTTTATGAAATCTGCCCGCAGACTACACAGGTCAGAATACTGCCTTAAAACAGGGAAGAGACACCCTTAAAAATGAACATCCCCCACATCAAATGCATGCAGTATCTTCTGTTCTTGCATCTATTGATTTCATGATACTGCAATCGTAGTGAAGTGGTAGATGTTTTAAGGCTGTGTCTCAGGTGCTAACCCCATCCATGTCACAGAACTGGATGTCAGTTCTGAGCAGCCTTTCCAGAATATTAAAGTACAGAATATTAAAGCTCCTCTAAAAAATGATGGCTCCTGCAAAATATATTGGAACTTTTTGTATTTCAAGGGTGAACTTTTAATGTGGGCGTTATGCCAGGTTTCTCTGGGAGGAGCAAGCCAGGAGAGTGTTCCTCTTTGAGTTGCAACAGCTTTTAGAGTGTGGGACATGTAAAGTTTCTGCTGCATACTCTTGCACCCGCAGGTCTTCTGCACTGGGTCCTCTTGTGCAGGACAGCAAGGCTAAAGCCTGTATCAGAGCTGATACCAGCTGCAGGCAATCCTGCTGACAAAGGCTCTGTGTGTGTGTGTGTGTGTGTGTGTGTGTGTGTGTGTGTAACTCTTTCTGTTCCTTTTTGCCTCTCTCCCATTGTGCACACCAAAACAATAGTACACATATTCTGGGCAAAATGTCTACCCCAGCAAAGTATTCATGGCTTGGTACACGGGAGCAAAATTGATTTTTTTTAAAGCTGAAGCAGTATCTGCCTTGTGTCCCAAGGGAATTAACTTCAAAATAAATGGTGATAAGGCAGAAACTCAGTCCTACCATTCTGACTTCTGCCAAAATACCCACTGAACTCCATGACAACGGTCTTTCCTTTGGTCTAGATAATCATGGTAGGATCAGGCCCTGGCTGTGAACAAAGTATCTGTGCCAAGCAGGAAGGGAGTATAATACTACAGAACCACTGCACTCTGCTTTGTTTCCTGCACAATCTCTGGCCAACTATTTACGTATCTTTTCACTGTACCCTGGTTGTATGCTTACTCACTGCATGCAGGATTTGCCATTCCTCAAGGAATTCTAGTTGGTCCACTTTGTCCCCTATTTCCTACACCGGCATAACCGTACATCACAGTTTCATTTGGCATTTAAAACAAGCTTTGCATTACTTGGAGGACGGTTTCGTTCAAGTGTGATGGCATGCAAGCAAATTCGATGCATTTCAACATTTCTGCTTAGTGTACGTGCTACCCAAATGAGAGAAATTTGGCATGTTCAGGTTTTTTGAAATTTGTTGCCCGTGGCAGGATGAAAACCATTTCAAGTTGGGTTCCAATTGTGAAATGTCATGTTTTTTTCAAGATCTCGTCAAGGACTATTTCTGTTGAACAATGAAAAAAGGTGTGGTTTTCATCCATAATTTTGAATAATGTTTATTACAACTTCTTCTGCATTTTTTCCAGCTTTTTGTTTTGTTTTGTTTATTAAACTTGTTTGTGAAAATATGTTTCAAAATTTAGGGTCTCCAGGAATAAGGTAGCCGCAGTGTTTTTGTTCGCTGGAAAATGGAACCATTCAGTACACTTTGTGTAAAATGTTGAAACTTTTACCGTTAAAGGGTGTCGACAGTGAAGCTTTCACTGCAGTATGCCTGATTTTAATGCATCTACAGGTAATTCCCAGTCAGTTGTCTATGCTATGAGATGAATGCATTTGAACCAGAATCGTTCTTTCTGCATGCCACATGCTCATCCTGTCCATGTGCCTAGCAAGGATGAGCTTCACAAGGCCTTTGGGATCAGCCTTAAGTGCTCAAAGAGATGAGGCAGGCAGCACCTACTTGTTACATGGACAGACACAAAGACCACAGAATTTTCCTAGGTCCGTCAAATTCTTTTCTGCTTCTTTCATGTCCTTATTGATTTGGTCCATTCCCTCTTCGATGCGTTCCAGTTGTTCTGATTAAACACAAGTATTTTATCCCCACAGAATGAAGCAGATGGAAAAGGACAAAGAAAAAAAAGACAAAAACTTCAGACATTCACTGTGACAAAAAACTTGACACCACATAGCAGAGCCGGTACCCAGTACCTACTTGTTACAAGGACATATGAAAAGGCCACAGCATTTCCCTAAATCTTTTAAATTTTTCTCGGCCTCCTTCATGTCTTGGTTGATATGGTTCATGCCTTCTTCAACACGATCGAGTTGTTCTGGTCAGGACAAAGGGATGACAGTGTGGAATGAATTGTATTTTTGTTTGTTTGCTTTTGTCTTCAACAGAACATGAAAAATGACCATGTAGAACTGAATTAATAATGACATTACAATGCATTAATCTGAGCTGATGCATTGTTGAAAGGATGTATGCTGCACTGGATGCCAAAGATGTGTTTTACTAATATGGAAAGAGTAAAACAAAGGAGGAAGATGGTTGAAATATGCTAATTTAAACAAGATGTAATGATGTAGAAAGGAAGGGTTATAAAGTTCAAGGTCCAGAAACATAGTACAATACATCCACTTACTAAGACACCAATGACATCCAAGAGGAAGAAAGATAGTGTTATTATTTTGCATTTATGTATGTTAATACAAGAGAAAAGGTGTCCTTCCATGGAAAATACTTCAGTTACTTACGCTTATAAATACCTTGGAATTAGGTGATTTTGGCCAGCGTAATTGCTTTGATTAGTGAGTGAGAGAGCTGGCAGTAACAGTACCAGAGATGGAACGAGCTGTTGAGAGCTGTGTCCAAGTACTCCTTTTTCCAGAGGCTGAGGAAACTGAGACCTTTGATTGGCATCGGACATTAATCTCTAATCTGAGTGTGGCCTCAGGGCTGGTTTTCTTTCTGGTATGGATGCTGCAAATCAGGAGTAACCCCAGTGAACACAGAGCAATTGCAACCACTCCAGGAGCCTGATGCTCACTGAAAGAGGACCACAGGCTGTGATGTATGTTGTCTCTGTCCCCAGGGGATCTTATGAAAAGAAGCATTGGGTGAAGACTCATCTTTTTCATGGAGTCACTTCTGGTTTGCTCCAAGGCAAGTTACGAAGCACCAAGCCCAGTAACCAGCCATATATAGACACTGTCTGCTGGCATCAAAAAGAAGTTAGCTTATTTCCACCTAAGGCTGACAATGATGTACGGTTTTCTTAGTGACTTGGTAGCTCAGAATAATTTAGTTTGTTAATTTCTTCACTATTAAAGCTGGAAAAAATGGCCTAGAGTAACAGGATGCCACAATGTAAAATTGTAGGAACAGATCCTCCACTGATGTAAACAGATATGTATCCAGTGGGATCAGGGGTCTTATGTGGCGTCTCTGGTAGCGACAGCATTTTATATGGGTGGAAAGCATCACTATTTGTTTCATAAAGGATAAACCCAAATAAGTATTACACAGGATGAGGAAGTTACTTGGAGTGGCGTTCCAATCCATTAAAAACTGTAATTGTACCAAAAGAGTCAAAGTAAAATAATCCCAGTAAAACACAAATTCTTCCCTATTCCCCGTATTGAATAGAAAAAACATAAATACAGAATTAGACTTGAAAGGAAAGGAACTATGAGAGCACTGGTTACAGGAGGAATTTAATGGTGTCCCTGATGTTAACTCAGTCCTATCCAGAAGAAAAAAAAAGAAAAAGAAGGCATTTTAGAAAAAAAATCACGTGCATATTGATGTCAGTACAAAAGTCCTCTTGACTTCTTTGGGAACATGAATAGGGCTAATTTTTTACTTGGGTTTCTAATAACAATTGAGGTTTAGATTTTCAAAGCTTTCTGGGGGATTTGGATACCCAATTCCCATTAAAATTAATTTAAAAAAAACCCGGGCATCTCACCCCTAGAGGGCCTTGAAAATCCTGGCCTAAATTATTCAAGTTGAAATAATTCAAATATTGAACTTGTGCTCTTTGTTTAATTCTTGCATGAGACTGGGCTTTGAGAAGGAGAGGTGCCATGTCAGTATCGTGAGCTGCATCTGCTTTTCAGCTGTCAGTTCTCATTCCCCTCAGCTGGACATGCCTGTCTTCTGATACCACAGGAGGTATTGATCCCAAATCCAAGGATACATTTAGATGATCAGAGTTACCTGGCAGTTGTCCTCTAAAAGGGGCACATATAATGTGAGCAAAGGATTGGGAAACTAATAAGGAAACCTGAGAAATACGCTGCACAAGTTCTGCCAGATAAACTGCTGAGCCAAGAACCAGAAATACAAGGTTGCGTTGTTTTAATGCACATTGTAATTTTACATTTTGGTTGGGAGGCTTTGGCAGAAGCTTTGGTTCACGTTTGTAGCCACAGACTGTGAATCTCGTCAGGAATGTGAGTATGTGGTAGCAGGTGATACTCCTTTAAGTGCTCCAGCTCCTGCGCAGTTGAGCAACTCTTGTTCTTGCTCTGGAGAGCAGTTGTGGGAGTGTAAGCTGGCTTTTGTGCTGGTTCATGCAGCATGATGGGAATTGCTAAATTTCTATCACAGATTCCCACCTCCTGGTGTGAGAGCTGTGTTTGCAGAGCCCAGCTGATTTTCAGGGCACTCAGTTAAAGGAAGGCTATTTCCACACGTGTATTTTGACACTGGGAGGGCCAAGAGCTACTGACCTTTCTTCCTCTGATTTTGCTGCTCGTATTTGTCTAACCTTGGCTGTCCAGTAGAAAATGCCAGGTAAGACTGCAGGGATCAGTCCTAGATCTGGCACCACTGGTGGCTTTCAATCTAAGCATGTTGCCTTGCTCAGAGGCACATTCTCTGAAACCAGGTATGTAGAAAGGCCTTTTGAACTTTCTGTCCCTGTTTCCTATTCTGCCTGAATAGAGGAGTGCTAATTGAAGAGTATATTTGACGTGACTGAAAGACTTTCATTTAAATTACAGCTCTCTCCAGGAACCTGACTTAATTTATCCTGCTTCAGGATTTCTGTGTGATGCCTATGCTATTTCCGAATAGAAAAGGAACCCACAACTAATTTATCTTCCATTAAAGGAAACCTCATCAGTGTAAAAAGCCCATGTCATATTTGTAGCCCAGAAGTCTAGACAGCTGGCTGCTGGTCCTAAAACCATTTGCTAGTTGTTAATGTCGCAGGCTGGATTGTTAACTGGTTTAAATTGGCGTAGTTATGCTGGCTTCGTGGAGCAACACCAATTTATACCTGTCAAAGATGTGGTCACACAGGCCAGGAAATAGATTCGTGAGTCTAACCACAATTATTGAGGCATAAATATTATAGAGGAATTAACTTAATGGGGTCACTCTGGATTTGTTTTCGTATAACTGATATGAAAATCTGGCCCAGAATGAATCATTGCTGGTAAGAAATTGGATGGCTATCAAAAGGTTAATTCAATGTCTGTTTTCATAGATCTTCCCTATTCCAACTTTGCATATTGTATTAAAGGTTTTAGGGAAGACAGTCTGCTAGCATATGCTGCCATGAACCTACGCAAACTCACACCTACAAAAGAACATGTCCTTTATCTCCTATTTAGAGAAGCACCTCAAGATCAGAGTTTAAACACCTTTTGGTAGTTTATTGCAGTATTCTTTGAATATACTACATCTATATATATGTTTATATATCATTTATGATATATAAGAGAATTGGTGTTGTCTGGAAACAGAATACTCATCAGAGGTATGTTTCATTGAGATTTCCTTCATTTTTTTCCTGGAAGCTCTCCCTTTTTGCATATTGACACCCTTTTATGTCTGAGAATGTCACTTCGATTCAAACGTAGTGGCCGTATATCTTCTTCCAGATCTTACAGCAAACTAAAATGTCATATCTTAGGATACAAGCAAGGAATTTTTTCTACCTGTATAGTTATACTTATGAATGACTTCTGTATTAAAACCATAGGCAACTGAGGGACCATAAGCTAGTCCTGTTGGTTTTACCGTGGCACTGTGGCCCTTTGCCAGTGGGTCTTTGCCAGGATCTTCCGTAACAGCCTGGCAAATCCCCACTCTTTGATCTGGGGAAGTGGCTGTGAGAGGGAAGCTGTAGCAAGGGAATCCCTCAGCTGCTCCTGTGGTCTCTTGAGCAAACACAGCTGCAAAAGCATCTTAACAGAGCGTTGGATGCAGGACCAGGACAGGGCAAATGTGGTGTTGCTCCACCTTTGCATCCTCATCTGTAGTTTATAACAAATATTCCTTGACTAGTGTCCAGGATCGGGGGCCTGTGCCTGAATGTCAGTGAAAAGCCTGTGGAGAAGGGAACTTGCTCCTTTGTCTGGCGTATTGTGCAATGAGAAGCGATTTCCACCAAGGACAATTTTAATTAAAGAAAACAAAAAAAAAAAAAAAAAACCCAAAGACATCCAAGAACACATTGTAATCATAATTGCGTACAAGAGGGCTGAATTTGAGAGAAAGTCAGCAGATTAGCTATTTCTAATGATACTTGGTGATCCCATTTTCTGTAAAGGAGAATCATATTGGAGCGCAGTACATTTCTAGGATAGCTTTTCCAGAAATCCTGACTCTGAACCTAGCTCTACTCTGAAAAGGCATTGCTTTTTACGCAAAGGTACGGTTGGAAGAAAGCTGGTGGGGAGTGCTTGTGAGTCCACATGTAGCTGTGCTAAAAATAACAGTAGACAAGGCACAACCTGCTTTTAGGGAGGAGTTGGTTTGTCTTTTCTTCTGCAATACACTTTCAACATAATTAACACAATTTGCCCTGTAGAATCTGAAACAGTTGATAGTCACCATTTTTTTCACTAATTAGCGAACCACGGAATCATAGAATAGTTTGGGTTGGAAGGGACCTTTAGAAGTCATCTAGTCCAACCCCCCTGCAGTGAGCAGGGACATCTTCAACTAGACCAGGTTGCTCAGAGCCCCGTCCAACCTGACCTGGAATGTTTCCAGGGATGGGGCATCCACCACCTCTCTGGGCAACCTGTGCCAGGGTTTCACCACCCTCATTGTAAAAAACTTCTTCCTTGTAAACCATTTCTGACTGTGATCAGCTCAGTTCATAGGTGCTGTTGAAGCGCCTCCAGCAACTCTGCTTTTGGCGTCTCACTGCCTATCAATTTTTGTGGTAGCTGTTGAATAGGAGATAAACTGTGGAACGGGCCTGCGCAAAGGGCCATAATTTTGCTCTCTGCTGGAAAGGAATGGTAATTATCTTTGTATTTACTGCAGTTGTTTCTCCAGTGCCGTAGAAACAGGTCAGCCATAACTCACACAAAATTTGTAAAACTCGCAGCTCCTGCAAAAACAGTAGAGGCCCAGCTAGCATGGGAACCATCGCATGGTGCCAACACTTTTGTTTGTGGCGTTGCGCAGTTACTCAGAAGTTTTCTCTCCATACTTCAACATGATCTGGAGTACAGATCTGCTGGGTAGATGAAGCTGGCATTGCTGGTTGTGCATTTGCTATTGCTGTGGTGCAGGGATAAAATTTCAATTGCATTGACATTTTCTTTGTGGCTTATCAAAGTTGCGGCTATTCCTCTATCTTGTCTTGAATGAAAAATGGCTGTACTGATACTGTCGTAGTTGGAAAAGTTTCTCCCCTCCACGCCGTTTTGAATAACAGAACAAAATTCTTTTGTAATAAACCGCATGAGGTCATCATCACACAAAAAAATGTCCTTGAGGGTCCAAATCTCTCTGCCTGTGGATACTCCCAGGTGATGGGAGTTTCCTTTGGAGGAAGAGAGCTACCACTCTGGGACAGCACCTATGTCAGTAATTCAGGTTTATCTTCATATCCCCACTTTGGACTATGAGTTCCACTTCTGCAGTCTGCTTTTAACCAACATGCATCCAAATATTAACATTTTTCTAAGTTAGCATGTTTCAAAGACATATTTAATGAAGCAGAGTAATTGCCACTGTTCAATAATCCTTTGCAGCATGACATTTTTAGTGTAAAATGTAAATATTTTAGCTTAAAGCATTATGTACATATTTCTGTTTAAATAATTTATTAAGGGACCTTGACTCAAGGCCAGGTTTAAAAAAATGTAAGCATATTTTTATGGAGGCACATAGGATCTGGGAAAGACTTTCTCACTGATGTGAAAAATCTCAATGAGCAGAATCTAACCTCTTGGCTCCTTCCTGTGGGCTCCCCAGGGGACGAACTGTGTTGAGTTGGTTTGGGTGACAATACCTGGCTCAAAAAATGATAACTCTTGGTATTGCAGAGGGACTACTCCGAAAGCCCACTCAGATTCCCAGTGACTTCAAAGGGAGGAGGTGTCTAGTTGTTACGGCAGTCCCATTCTCCGTGGAACAGGAGCAACGAAAGCTCTTGCGAAGCTCCACTTCTCCGTAGGGTCATAACGGACCCTGTGGTCTGCGGCGCAGCCAGCTGTGCTAAACGTGTAGGCAAGAGGAGCTAGCCAGACTAGCTTCATTGCACAAGTACCTGGTATTGTAAAATTACATTGATTTATTTCCTTTTATGATCCCAAAGACTTCTGCTTATTGATGTCAGAAGATGAGTTCTGCTTTGCGTTATTTAGATTGAGATTGGCTCAAAGAAGTTTTCCTTGTAAGGTCTGTTTAACTTCAAAGCAAGCCATTTTGTAAGGAAAACCTAGAAATAGAGCTTCAAGCAACTGCAGAGATTAGATATTGTGCTTGCCACCCACTGGAAAGATCAATGTCACGGTTTTTGTATATTTAACACCTAATAATCTTAAGTGACTTGTGCAGTCAGCTGAAAAGAGATCACATGGCACTGTTAGCAAATTATTTCCTTAATCTGATAATCTGTTAAGACATCCGTGAGTTGCACACATTGCACTAATTACAGAGGGTTCAAATTCGTCATTAGCGTGTTTTGCCCAGTAATATAACAAGTCCATATTGCTAGAAGTAAAAAAACCAACCAAACAAAAAAAAACCACCCAGAAATTATAACAGCTACATATGGCTAAAATGGACAAAATTTAATTAAACATTTAGCATACTACTGTGGTTACAATATTCCCAGGGTTTGTAGCATTGTTAGGTTGTTTTCCTTGAGAAACTCATACTGTATAGTCACAAGCTAAATTTACTGAACCACTTAAGGCATGACCATAACCAATTTAAAGAGGCTTTTAAATTGTCTGATTCTTTCCTGTAAGTATCGACTAACTGCATCTCTGGCCGTACAATATACACTGAAGGTTTCATTGTCAGTAAGAGTTTAATACTGAGTTCCCTGGACTCCAAAGAGGTCAGTGGGTCCAGTCTCAGCTCCTTAGCTCATGCAGACTGTCCTTCCTAGCATGACTAGAGAGTTGGTCCGATAATCTTTGTGCACAGGGGTGTAGCAATAGTAGAACTCCAAAGTAAAAAAAAACACCCAACAAAAGTCAAGGTTAAAAAACAAAATAAACCCCCCTAGAAAGCTGCAGAAAAATAACCGTTAAAGAACAGAAACATACTTTCCCAAGACTAACCACAAGGGAAGTTATAGGAACCACTAAAATTTCTGCTGATCTCTCTGTGAATTACATTGCAAGACACACCTGGGTATTTACAGACTTTCTTTGACAATATTTGTGATTTATTTTAACTGTATAATTCACTTATGAAACAAAACACGTTATTTAGGTGTCATATCTGTTTCAACATAAGTAATTTCTGGTTTTCTGTATTCAGTGATAGTTATTTTACAGCCATTATTCAGAAAAAACCCGAAATATTCTCTGTAATATTTTTCTTGTCAAGACAAATGGATGCAACAAAATTTGGTTAGGTTAAATTCTTTTCCCTAAAGGAGGGGATGGGGGGGAAGCAATGAGACATACATACAAAAGCAAATAGAAGGATGTACTTTCTACTTAGGTCCTGTTATTACTTTTCATTCTTTTTAGTGCCAAAGAGGCAGGGACATACAGATCAAAAGGGTCTGTCAGGTTCTGTAGTCCATTTCCCAACAATGCCATACCATTGCTTGTAATTGTAGTCTGGGCTTGATGCATCACCTCTGTAGAAAACATTTCCTAATACAGTTTTGTATCATACCACATGGTAAATACTAACAAGGGCTTTTGGAGGGGGCTGCTTTGATATAGAGTAGCAGAAATTTATACTCCGTTGATTTAACTTCTCTTTGGAGACACCATTTTGCTGGTCCTGTGGTTCTGCAGCAAATGAAGACTTATTAGTTTTGTTGGGGAGGGGGAAGCTACCTACTTCTTTGTAATATTATAAAGGGCAAAAATGTAATTTCCTGGAGTGTATTGAATATATCTAGCTCTGTCTTTGTCACTGTCATCCACCGATAGGGAGCCGTCTAAGCTTGAAAGCTTCTATAGGGTCAATTGTAATGAGCTGATCGTGTCATATCTTTTAATGTTAAATTCCTGTTAGCCTTGCTGACATTTCTATACAAAAACCGACTGAATTTTATGCCAACTAAACCTGTGTTACCTTCTTTTGGGATGCATTTATTGCATTCCTTTCACTTGTGGCTAAAACAAGTGAGAAAATGACATAGCACCTGTGTAAATAATGTTGGATTTTAAATTTCTGGAGGCAAATCTTCTCACTGTGTAGCTGCATTTTGACCCAAAGCTTGCTGAAAAACGTTATGATTTGGATGAGTTCAGCCTGCAGTTCTCTTTGACATTAATGGGAAACAGATCAAAAGAAGTACATACTCTTACGCAGTTATTGTACGTTCCTCTGTCAGACAACGAAGCTAAAGGCAAAGAGGTTTTGGGGTTCTCATGCACAACCACATTTATGAACCTCATTTTCAGGATTGCACACAGTCAGTACAGTACTTTGAGAATGGTTATACTTCCTTACTGAAGCAATCTGAACTTACCTCCTTGCTCATCCAACATAACCAAAGTCCTGATACCAGCATCTTTACTCTACATCCCAATAGTGGTAGCAAGGTAAGGAGAGAGAGGGGGAGAAGAAAGAGAGAGAGAAAGAGAGATCAGTGAGGGAACACTCAGTCCTAGGTATGGGACATAGGAAGACAAAAGAAAAACAGTGAAAGGAATGACGAGGTCATAAGGGGCTGGTGGCACAGTCCAAAAGTGCCTCGACCCTGTATAAGGAACTGGATACTCTCGATTGTACTATCAACCCTTCAGGATTCACTGGGATACTGAACTACTACAGAAAATGCAAAGTACTGGACCTTGAGATTAAAATTATCACTTTACACAAGAGTAATTTCTAAAGAGAGAGGGTTCACCTCCAAGTTCTCTGAAGCAGGAGAAGGGAAGGAGGGGGTGTTCACATTGCAGGGGTATATCCCACAGGAGAAATTCCCAAGGAAAATAGATATGACACAAACATGTTTGGAAAGCAAGCGTAGTGGTTTGTACACAGCCCTTGCAACACAGGAGTCAGAAAGCTTGCCTACTTAGGGAATCCATTTTAAAGCAGGCTAATACTTAATAGGATTAAGCCATATTTTTTGGCTCAGAGATCTAATAGATATGGGTTTGAGCCAAGTTTTAATTCAGCCAACAGACACCTTTAGCATCAATGGACTTTGGATTGAGCTTGAAGGTAGGATCTTTAAAACATCTACACACTGACTCTGCTCCTGCTCTCACAGGTTAGTGGGAGTCTTATCATCGCCTTTGCTGGATACAGGGTTTGAGCAAAGCCGAGCAATTCAGAGATCCCACCTGCCTAAACCACCAGCAGGGCACCTTTCACAAGTACAATTTTTGCATGCATTATCATCACTCTGGGATGTGATCAGGTGTCTTGAGTTCCTGGGTGGTGTGATCCTAAGCTGTATCACAGATCAGATTAGCTCCTTTTTAATTACGAAGGGGAAACTAGCTCCATTCTGCTTGCAGCAGTGATAACATCTGTGAATAATTAATAGCCCGAACGATCTCCTGACTGTTGCATTTCAAAAACAGATGAAGTAAGTTCTCTGCAGCCTGACAGCTTGCCAGCGGAGTTACCTGGACATGTGCATCAGTAATTCAGCTGCTTCCGTGAACGTAAAGCCATCCATACCCCCACGAAAGCAGATAAAGTTGGTGGCGTTAATTTTGCAGAGAGCGGGTGAGATGCCCACAGCTGCACAGGAATGTGAGGAACAGAAACCTGGAGTGCTGACTGTCCATCTTTTCAGAGCTTTCCCTCTCCCTGAAGCAAATTAAGGACTTCATATTATCCTTCCTCCCAACTGCCCTGCTCACTGTCATCGCTCATCACTTTTTCTGGGAGCAGTGAAGTCTCTCTGGCCATTAGCTGCCTGGTCCGCGCTTGCAGGGCACTCCCAGGCAGGCCAGCAGCACGCTGCCCGCGTTGGCTTAGCTACAAGCCTGACTCTTTGCCACACTCGAGGGCTGTCTGGCTGGTGCAGCTGGTGCTTCTCTGCTTTGCTTCAAGAGGATCCTCCTCGGGTCAAGAGGGATGCGAGATGCTTCTTGTTGTGCTCTTGTCTGCCTTTCTCTGCACTCCCATTCGTGTCTTTAATGTCTACATCACTGTAGAAACTGGGAAAAACATCAGATGTGTGCAGCCTGGTTCATTCTGTCTTTTTTAAAAATTCCTGTGTGAGTTGCCAGGTGGAGAGAAAATAGCCTCCTGCCTCTCCCCATGGTCTGCTGCACCCTACTGCCAGCTATCTACCTTGTACCCACTGTTGCTCTCTGTCCCTTCAAGCTCATCCTGCATTTGCTTGAATCCCAGACAGATTTTATTTCGTCAACCTTTAGAAACTTAGGGTCCAAGGGTCAACTTAGATTTGCCTGTTTAGAGTAAGGAAACCACCTTTAATTATCCTATGTTTTTTGTGGGCCGGGTGTCAGATCTGATAAGCACTGGGTGTGCAATAGCTTTTTATTGTGCTCTTTCTATGCTTTTGGTACCCAGGGATGTCTAACCCCAAAATATTTATACATATTTTAAAATCATACCTCTTGCAAACACAAGAAGGCTCCTTGGGTCCTGAGTCATCTTGTGTTTGAGTTATTATGGTGCAGTCTGACATGGGACCCTTCTAAATATTGGACTCAGAAACTTACAATTGGTGGTGTGATAGTTGTTGGCTTTCAGTGAGTCAAACATAGGCAGGCTGAGAACTGTTTACTGCTCCTTAACCCTCTGACCTTATTTTCCTGCTGTTTTTAACATTTGAGCAAACTGCCTTTATGCAGCTAAGATGTCCAGTAACCTGACAAACTCAGCAATTAGACCTTATGATTTGTATTTCATATTAAATCCTTGCACGGAGTGAAAAAGGTGCAATTTTCTTTTACTTACCTGACCATCAGTGCCATTTATTTCTACCAGGCATTACTGTATCTCTTAAGAGCAGCCTGCCACAGCATTAATACTAATGTGAAAATATGAAAGGGTGTGCATTGAATATACTTGTCTGCATCTGAAGTCTAATCCAAAGCATATTGAAGCTAATAAAGATGCTCACTGACAAAGATGAGAGGTGATTCAGACATCAAGTGACAATCTCCTCCTGTTCCAAGTTTCTATTAAGCATTAATTTTCAGCTTTTTCACAAAAAATTAACTGTATAAAGCCAATTAAAAAAAAAATCACATTTGTGCATTTAAAACAGATTCAGACTTCGCTAAAAGTTCAATATTTCCATTGTGACTGATCTTTTAGATAGCTCAAAACCAAACATGTGTAAGACAGAGCTATTCTGAAAATGTGCTCGTCATCCAGATGTCCGAGCAGGGGAGAAACACTCAGTAACTGACCTTCAGTGGCAACAGACTGAGGCATCTGTGGAAACTACAAAGCCTCTTCCTTTAAAGGGATATAAAGGAAAAATTGTGCCAAACAAGTGTGTTTGGGACCCACAGACAATGTTGGTGTTTTCTGCACTGAAAGTATCATGGAAACTCCCCTTGGTCTCAGGGGGAGCAGGTGTAAGTAGACACACTCAAACTGGTTGCTTAAAGAGTGCGTAACAGGAGGTGATGAAAGCTCTGTTAGCGAAGTGCCAGCCCAGAATATGTTTTACAACAACTGATCATAAAACCTTGATACCAGGCTCTCAGAAGAGCCACAGTCATGGCAGGGGCCTGGTGGCCATGCTTTGATTTGTCTGGTCCTGAGGGCTTAGGAAGGGTTCTCACCAACATCAGTGAGATCCTACATGGGAAGCCATGAATGGGTAGAACTAGTAAGGTCCATCTTGTTATGAAAATATGTGCTAATGGTACACTTTCCCCAGGATTAGAGTCTTTCTTTCTTCTTGTGCAGTGGAGGAATTTCTTAAGACCCTCCTGTCTTTGCACAGGCAATCCTCTGTTTAGTTTGCAACAAAATAAGGATTCTCAAAACACAGGATGCTTAGGGTGGTTCAGGCCAGAGAGTGGCAAAATGAATCTTTCATAGGACCCTACAGTGTTCATGAAGCACATGCCATTTTAATCCAGCTCTCAAATCTGTAGCAGCCTTCTCTTTCCAGAGTTGCTTCTGACTCTCCTTGTCTTCTTGTTGTACTTGTCAGGAGAATTTGTACTGCTGGATTTTGCCATGGTACAGCAAAGATCTCACATTCTTGTCCTTTAGAATAAAATGGCACAGCATGAATTGCTTTTGTCACGGCATTAAACCAACAGCTCTGGAGTTCCTCTGTTTATCCATAAAGCAGGTATACCACAGATGGTAAAACACATTATCTTTCTCAAGCAGCCCTCGAACATACTCAGCCCTGATTGTAGGAATGAGCAGGTCGACCAGCATGTCCTCCTAGACTTTGATTTCCATGGAGAGTGCTGTGGGTTGCCAACCTTTTTTCTGCAAAGATCTGCCCAATTTTGCACACAAGATGACCCCTCAGGGCAGGAAGCCATCACTTGCAACTTCACAATTAATCACATCAGGTGAAACAGCACCATAAATATAGACCCCATAAAGTTCATGAAAGTTGATGTCCTTCAACCTTTTAGCAGCACTAAGCTCTGGTGTTTAGATAAAAGCAAACCAGCAAGGAGTACTGGTTTGGCTTCAACATGCTTTCTGTGAAGCACATGCCTAGGTTCTGCACTGGACCACAGTAAAAACTCCTGATCAGAAAGCCAGAATATATGGTTTTAAACCTCTGGGCTTAATTCAGCTTTCTAGGTTTAATTCAGCTCTGGGATACCTGAGTCTGTCAATGCTTCAGTGAAGCCAGTTTAACAGCATAACCAGGAACCCTTTTGGAGGCTTTAATATACATTATCCCCAGTCTTCTGCAGCTGTGTTTGAAACCTTTTTTTATGAGGGTCTTAGAGCAAGTCAGCAACAAAACGTTCACTGAAATTTGCCCAGCACTTTGCAGGGGAAATGCATTGCTGTGTCATTTCTTATTATTGCTATAATGTCACTGAATTTCCCAAGGTGGGAATAGAACTAGGAAGAGCATTGGAATGACTTCTCAAAGGGCCCATCAGTCCCTCCAGGAACACAGGGTGTTGCATCCTATCTGTGCCTGCTACAAAAGGCAGCTACTCCAACTTTGGTTTAGCCTGAGGGGTGATTTTCATAACGATGTATCAGATAGAGAACCCAAATTCTAGAAATCACTTTCTCTGCATTTCAGGAGATAGTCTCAAAACCAGGTATGTGAAGAACACATAAACCTCCACTTCAATGAAGAATTTTTCTTTAATTCATATGGATTATAGAGTTTGTTTTGAATAAATTAATACAGACAATTATGTACTAGCACAGGCTGACATTGCTAGCAGTTCCCAGAGACACTAAAGAGAAGTGTCAACATGCTAAAGACAAAAATGTGGTCAAAGAAACATTTTTTAGTCATCCATAGTAATGCGTTTCCTCAGCTCCTGCTCCAAGTTCACTGTCACCCTGTTAACACTGTACTGTCTCTCCATGCATGATTAAAGAGCCATGTTACTTCTCAGCCTGTTAATTCACCCTGTGGTTCAGACCCTCAGCCGATACAAATCTGTGTACCCCCACTTAAATCCTGTGGGCCTGGTTTTCATCTAGCGCGATGACCCGGACTCCAGTGCTACCCTGCCGGTTTACATAAACGAAGGGGTTTAATCCTGCATAGGAAAAACCAAGACTAAAATTATGAATCACCTTTCCCTATGCCAGATATGTATTTCTGTGGAATTGCACAGATTAAAACACTTTTCTGAGTAGAACCATTCCAATAGCTGATGATGTCAAAGGGATTTTTCAAATTAGTTTTGACAAGCTTTGGACCAAACTCTAAATTAATTGAATATTTTTTTTAATTCTTCATACATTTGACTATGATAATAATGTCATGGGAAAATCACTTCCCCATCATGAAGGAAGTTAGTATGTGGCATATGGTGTGTTCAGTGTCCTGTGTAGAGCAGCATCATGAGGTTATCAAACATTTATAGCTTACCGTTTCAGCTTTGATATGTTAGTAAACTTGACTCTAACCCCCCAGCATGTGAAATCCTATCTGGATTTAAATGTACAAAACAAACTTTTTGTCTGTACATGTTGCTAAGTGCTTTCTTGCTGGGCTTTCTGCAGTACTGATTTTGTTGATATTTTTTCCCTTGCTGCACCATAGCTAGAAACCATCTTTTTTTCCCACCCTACAATGATTGATTTTCTTTAAAGGCCATGGTGGTTCCACTGGAAGGTGGTCGTACACTCATAGCTTTCCCCTTGCATGTGTTGTTCTGCATTTCATACAGTTGGCTCAGAGGTAAAAAGCTTGAACAAGAAAATAAGGTCAGCTGCAAGCTGTGTATTTAGTCTCACTTCTTCTGCCTCAGTTAATTTTTATTTTAAGTTTCGGCCCAGTCATTGCACAGCATTGTCATAAAATACAGGTGCTTATGGCACTGAGTAGCTCAAATGAGCGTTGGTCAGTGTAGATGTAACTGTGTTGCATGCGTATGCTGGGCACCTCAGAGCAAACTGGTTTTTGTAATCTGCCATCCCAGTTCGTAGCTGCCTTGGGGCAAAGCAGTGGCGACTTTACAACAGCCACTCACCACTTTTCCTTGCTTCCACTCTTGTGCTAGGACTGAAACAAGCAGCTTCATGCAAAGGTGGATGACAAAAGTAAGAAGCAGTAACAGATTTGTCTATGCTTGCCAGCATTCCCTGGGACCAGTACCAGGGCCGAGCATCCAAACTCAGTCTTCTTGGGCAAGGAGGTCTTTTGGGGACATTGATTTTGTCCCCCAAGCTATGACCTACATTTCAGCATTGAGGATGCCTTGTACTGCTATAGGGCTTCCCTGGGTGGACAGCACTCTTCTGTCTCTAAAGTGGAGCCAAGTCAGCCTGTTTATTCTATACTTTCCTAGTATCTAAACAGAGCAGAGCCAACCATGACAGGAATTCATACACATGTATGCAGTAATGATGTTTAAACATGGAGGCATTCTTTTCCTGAGTAAGGAATAACAGATTTGCTGTATCAAGAGAACAGAGTAAAAAGCATTCTTTCACCGAGAAAGAATATCTTCTATCTCTACCCACTAGACGGGTTCTGCTAAGCAAGGGAGTCTAATTGGATTTTTTGGGTTTATTAAATCAGAGCAATGCGAGTTCGATTTCAAAGACACCCACAATTTGTCTTTTCAGTATAAAATCTCTCAATCCCTAAATGCTGCATTCTTTTAAAAGTACCTAGGAAATGAGGTCAGAGTAATCAACCAACTCTTTAGACCACAGAAGAATTTTAAAGGTCTTCTGTAGTCACATTAATGAAAATAATATTCAGCTCATTGTAGAATTCCCTTGACTACTCAGTGCTAGTTTTAGAAACTTCTCTGTTTGGACAGGAAGATATTGTAGCATCTGAATAAAAGCCAGGTCCGGAGAGATGCTGAGCTCTTCCAAGAAGCACTAGAGTCCTGCATAAATTCATTGGTAAATGCAGCAGTCCCAGTTCTCCTCCCACTTTGCCATTTGCCATGCTTTAATACTGAAATTCCAGTGGCATTCACAATATGCTGGTTCAATATGTTAGGAAGACTCAAGCAATGCATAGGTCACACAAATACAGCTCGGGAGAGACAGGGCTGATATTTACTGATGGCTTGGCCCTGAGCAAACCACTTCCCTTTCCTGCGCCTCTCTTCCCACTCATCATCTGCTTTGTCTATTTAGATCACAGGCATTTTGGGGCAGCAGGCTCTCCTGCCTGGCGTTTGTGCAGGTACCCATGTGAGACTTTCTTCCATGCTGTTGAATTGATTTCAGCAGGAGCTGCATCCAGCCTAGAATTGACATCAAGTGATGGCTAGAAATGGCATGTCCAGGGAATTGAGCAACGAAAAGGGACAGATCGCTTGTGAGACAACAGCATGTTTCAGCTGCAAGGGGCCCAGATCTGAAACATTTGTGGAGGAGAAGCGATGCTGACTATGCTCAATGACCCATCTGTCTGTCTATCTGTACAGGGAAATTTAATTTTGTCTCCACTTGACTCCATTGATCTCCACAGTTGTGATTGATTTCAAGGCCATGAAGCTTACGGCTGGGCTTGTGCTTGTTCCTGAACGTGGGACCTGATGTAATTTTCTTCCCGTTGTCTCTGCCGGAGACTCCTCTTATTGTCAGGAGTACTGGGACTGTCAGTGCTGATGACCCTGATTAAAAATGTCACCAGCTCTGGAGCCAAGGCTCACACAGCGTCTGAAAATAATGTGTCCTGTCAAGTGGGAGCAAAGTTTTCCACCACCTGATGGCTGACCACTCTAAACTGAACTGCGTTTGGGAATTTGTGATGTTTAACCCCTTTGTTACAAAGAGGATGAAACAAGGCCTCACTGACTTGTTTTTTCCCTTCTGAGAGTGATCCTTCCAGGCAGGACTGAGCCTGGGTTCCCTTCCTCAGCACCATGGAAAAACAGAGAACTTCCTTCTCCAGAGCTGTCAATCTAGGACATCCCATGAAGCCTTGAAATCCTAATAAATGTTTCAGAGATGCACAAAGAAGTGGAAGTTGCATGCTGTGGTGACTGATGCTCTATAAATAGCTGCAAGTGTTTATGGAGACAGAAGTGTTCAGGGACAACAGGGCAAACAGACCAATTCTCGCCCTCCCCACTTGCGGTGTTATGGCAAGGATGTCAGAGCGGTGCCAACACGAGGGTCCGGGAGCTCTGCAGCAAACTCAGCCACTTGTCCCTGAGTCCAGCTCACCTTCAGAGGCTGTTGCCTTGGTTTATCTCCAGTAGCCTGTCTGGATACTGAGGTATGGGCAAAACAGTGCCTCAGCAGCTGGTCTGCGGTGAGAGACTTGGCAACTAGGGCACAGTGAATGACCCTCCTAAGGGGTAAGGATAAGGAGGGATGGAGCGGCACATAAAGCCGTGGCCATGCCCTAGCAATGTGAGTTAACAAAAAACCACTTCCAATGTCAGACTCTCTATCACTTTTGCTCACACCAGAAGTGCAAATAAAATGCAAGTCCTTACCTCTTCAACAAGCTGCAGCATTCGACGGGTGCTCTCAAGGGACTGAAAAATTCAGAGGAAAAAAACACTTAGATTTGGCAAGATACAGTTTCCAACACTAATGTGCAGGCTCATGCTGACAGTATGCTTTTCCTACGCTCTTTGCCTTCCCTCAAAATCAGGCCATCAGCAGGGTACTGGTGATCTCTTAATCTTCAGCTCTGTTATGGCTCGTTAATGCAGCAGTTCCCACCGCATCTCAGGGCAGCTGCAGTCTCTAAGGCTTGCGCTCCCCTTGCTCACGCGTTGCGGCGCTGCTGCTTGAAACAGCTGGTGTTCTACTTTAAAAATAAAGTCTGTGGTTCTCAGATAAGACTTTTCAGAGACCTAATTGGTGACTTTTAACATTTAATAGGTTTGGAAAATTGAAGGAACTCTCAGAAAATATTAAATTGCTGCTTTTTGCTTTGAGGCCAGTCAAATTGATACAGACTCTAATACCTAAACCAAACTCACAATCAATAAATGCCTTAATCAAGACTAAACATGACATTAAATTTTACCCTGGCTCATTTCATTTCCAATTCTGCTTTCAGTGTAAAGCTGTTGAAAAACAGAATCAGCTCTAGAAATCCTTTGTCGGATCAGCTCCTATTTTTCTGGATGTGTCTCTCATGCCAAACCCAACCCCAAGTTTCCTGTTTAGCTATCGGTCTCACTTCATCAGCAAGCTGGTCGGCACGCCGCTGCATTTCTTCCAACTCATTGCGCATATCAGCGTCTTCCGCCATTTTAGCTGTGGGTGTGTTTGTGGAAGCTGCAGATCAAGGACTTGTGCTCAGCTGCTTGTGAGTCTGGAAGACAGCGAAAAGGGAAAGAAACAGTGTGGTTAGGCTCCCTGACTCACTGATTTGTAATTAAATGCCAGACCCACAAAAGTGCTTTTATTACATGAATGCCCTCACCCAAACTCTTTTGTTCTGTGCAGCAATTCCTATACAGTAGAAAGCACGCAGGATTTTTCAAGGTGGTGCGTTATTCCTGTATTATTAATCACTTTCAAAGAACAAGGATGTATCCTTGTCGTGTTCTTTAGGCAAAATCCTTCCTTTTTTCTTAACCTTTCAAATGCTATCCATATCAAAGCTGGAGATTCAGGAGGTGTTATTTGCTATGAGAAATGAGCTTGAGACCCATTCATTCTTCTCTAAAATTAAAAGTCTTAACATGAAGGAGGTCCAGGTCAAGCCTATGACCTTCATGTCCTATATTTCAGCTGCATTGCTTGGAGGGCCAGACACTCAGCTAATATATCTGCAATGAAATTAAAGACAATGAAATTTTGCGGATTTTTATTGGCTAATGACTTGTCCACCATGCTCTAGTTGAGACTCTGAAATAATATTTACAGGTAGATTGGGTGAGGTTGTCTACCTGGCAGAATCCTTTGTTTCAGGGGAAGTGACTAAAGGACCTAACTGGTATTTTCAACTTCTCTCCGAAGTGGGTCAGAGTCTGAACTTGGTTATCCCTCTCCATACAGAATGATGCCACTGAGCTCATCCTAACCAGAGACCAGGATACAGCCCATTAATCCTCACTTGGGTAGGGTTTCTTTTTTTTGTTATAAATTCGAGCTAGCTCTGATTACTGAGCATGACTTGATTAAGAAAGGCGGGTCCTCCTACCATCTGTCAGGTCTTTATAACAACAACACTGGCTTATTTCTTTGCTTGATTCAAGCATGGCACGTTGCAAATTACTGCTCACTGAATGTTAGATTTGTTCATTGCAGGAAAACCTAATCCCAGGTGCAGAGGAGGTGGGGAAGTTGTGGGGGACTGCAAAAAAAAAGCCATAAAGCACATGCCATCATGCTCAATTACAGACAGAGGACAAAAGCGGCCCCTTTCAGCAAAGCTGCTCCAAGAAGGCAAAATCCCAGGGGCTATTTTCTGTCCTGTCTTTGTGATACATGTAGCCTTTATGAAACAAAATAAGTCAGGGCAGAGCTTGGCTCTAAAATTTTAACAATAATAACTCTGTTTAAATGGAAGTTATTATCCATTGGAGATGAATCTGTTCCTCGCTTTGACAGTATGGGCTGAACAGGTACAGCTGAGGGGCAAGGAGATTTCCTGGATCCCACCCTGTTTGCTTAGAAATGTATAAGGAAAGCAGACAGCTCCTTGCCTTTCCTCTGCAGCTTCAACAACGTATTTGTTGTTTTTCTTATCTACGAGGGAATATGTGACCTTCATGCTTTTGCATTAGCTGTGCCCTCGCTCGTGGTTGCTTTTCCTCTTTGAAGCTACAGCAGGAAGAAATTCATCTCAACAAGCAGCAGCCCTGCAGCTACTGGCATGGCATCTTACTTTCATCACTGAGCACATTACCACATCCTTGTCAGAAGGAGACTGATGTTTTGTGATGGGTCACACAGTGTTTAGGAGCCCAAATGTATGCTGGAGAAGAAGCCCACCCGGTTCTGCCAGCTGCATGGTCACAGCGGTGCGAAGGACCAAGCTTAAGCAACTCATCTGCAACCCTGGCTGATGAAAATGCAGAGCTTAATTTCATGGCTAGCATTCAGACTGGTATCAGGCACTTCAAGGATGCTTACAAACAGCAGTAAATAGGCTTTACAAAAAGTGGCCCACTCTGAGGATTAGGAGGAAAAGCGTGAGGACACTCTTAAGGCCACCCCAGCCTTCCTGCCCGGCTGCTGCACTCGCATTGTCATTTGTGGCACATCACACACCTCCAGGAAGACACTACTCCCGATCAGCAAATGGAGCGTGCTCAGCTGGGATAAAAGAAGTTATTTCGGTAAAGAACTACTCTCCAAACTCTTGTCCCACTTGGCACAGGCTGGCACTAGCACTGGTCACCGCTTCACAAATTGTGCTTTTTTCCAGATCGAGGCAAAACTCAGTATTTAAGTATTTCTGGCACAGCCTCTGTGACAAAATACCAGGATTAAGTCTGTGGACCTAGTTTTAGAATATTTAGCTAAAATATTCTCCTCTGCCTGGATCCCTCACTGCACTTGTGCTGGCAGAGTAACAGCACTGAGCTTTAGCAAAAATCAGGACAATTTAGACATGACTTTGAGACTGATTTAATTGGTACAGACAGCTAGCTGTGAGGGGCAGGAAACTGGTTCTGCGTTATTGTCTATCTGGTAGTATCTTGCTAGTTGTAAAGTGGGAGGTGATACATCAGTGGGAGGATGGGATGCTAACAGGGGGTTTGGTTCAGTCTCTAAGCATATCCACTGTGAGCTGAATGATCACAGATATGTAAGCGAATGAAGGTGACGAGTGCTTCTACTGACAATAACAAACAATACAGTCCATTTGTCAGTCACCACAGATAATAAAAATTGCACAGAAAATTCAGTTCTCAAGCAGATTCAAGCCTGACTTTTGATCTTTTACTCATCAATTTTTGATCATGAGCCAGCGGTGGTGTTGGGTGGTGCAAAAAAGAAACAAAGGGGAGAAACTTTGTGATTTTTCTTTAGTGTTATCTTTCTCGGTTAGTTAGAACCGTCAGTTGGCATCTTAGTGACAGACACATCCTATTTTGCATCAAGCTAAAAAAATGTCAGAGGTTGTAACTAGAGAGATGTTTTGTAACAAGTGATCGAACTTGACAGGTTTATTGAGATTGTTTGGTATTTGTAAAGCACTTAGAATGGATTGAGAAATAGCAAAAAGCATTCTTCCAGACAAGTCATTTTACATCAAGTTTTAGTTATAAACAAAAGTGCCCTGCAGCAGTGCTGATTCAACTTTATTTAATAGAAAACTGTGCACAAGAATCAATAAAGGTTACTTATTTGCACACAGTATGATAAACTACATGTATTTTGCAGATGGCTGGGAATGAGTTTAAATTTTTTATGGATTTTGCAGTTTAAAATATGGAATAGGACAGATTAGAGATAGGATTTTCCTTGAAAAGCCCTATTTAGACTGAAATTCCATTCCAGTGTCATGAATTTCCAACAACAAACCCTGCTATCAATAAAATCCTGTAGAGAGCAGATTTATGTCTTAAAGACAATTATTTCTCTACAGTACAAATTAACAGTTTTCCCTCTATGGTGTTTCTTAGGAACACCTATATATAGTCCTCTTGATGTATTAAAACATTGAAACTGAATGATTACAGGAATGGCCAAGAAAAGGTAAACCATAACGGAGTAGCTCTCAGTGATTACTGGACAGACTTTCAAAAACATAAGGTATTAGTCCATCTTGGGCCCACTGAAACCTGCTCTTGTTTTAGTAGAATGGGAACTAATAGCCAAAGATACTATTGAGGTCTTTGGGTAATAAATTCCTTGTAGAATTTATTTTTTTGGTAATAGCTGATATTTTGCATTCCGTTCCCATTCAAGCTGATTTGAACCAAGTATCAAAATCATATAAATGCCATAGGAACCCCTAATATAACTGGAAATAAACTCTCCAAAAAGTACTCTGTACTTTCAACATAAACCACATTTTATTTTGTCTACAGTCACTGCAGAGTTGGCAGATCAGAAAGCCAAAGCTGTGATGTAATATGTTTAAGCTCTTTAGATCTAAGACTTTGATTAAAAAAAAAAAGTTGCTGTGGAAGTTACAGCCACTTGCATACGCTCAGTTAATTTGTGTTTATACTTGCAATAATTGTATACACAAATGCAAGTTCAAAATTTCACAAGGACCTTGGTTTTTCCTTTTCGGAAAAGGGAAGGGAAATCCTCTGGGTTCACACACAGACATGTACAGTGCTCCCTTAAAAGGAGACAAAAGTCCAAATGTGGCTACAAAATACTCTGTACTTCATGTACCAAGCTGTGCTCTGTGTCTTCTAGACAACACAAGTCACTTCGGGGGCTTGGGTGACTTACATCAAATTCCCTGTGAGCCAGTCTTCTACATTACGCCAGTGCTCGTACAGTAGCACAAAAGCAGACTAAAGGTTAAAGAAAAATATAAAGAGAGACTGGCTAATGGAAACGCATTGCCTATTATACTTTGAATTCTGCATCTGCTATTTTAGTAGTGTTCAGACGCAATAAAGAATCTCATAGCAAGAACATTATATATCCTTGTGGAGTTATACTGAAGTCTGAGAGAGACCTACATATATCCCTAGAGGAAGAGAGATACAATGAGTGACCTTTGAAAGCAAATATTTGCTTCACAGTGATATAAACACTTCAATGCAATAAATACAGGAAAATGAAAATGCTGCAATTTACTGCGGTGAAGGCAACACTGCAATAAAGTGTTCTTTTTTAAGCACTCTCCCTGTTATTAAAGGACATATCTATTCTTCCCATGGATATTTGTAGCCAGAGGATGACTGCATTGGCGTATTCTACTGAAAAAGTCCGAGTAGGTCAATACCACACTTTATGCTTCTTTCTTGTAGGATTGAAAGAGTGAGCCACAGCAAACCCAAAGAGGCGCTTTGGATCAAGCATCTCAGGATGGATGCTGAGCCGTTTAAAGCTGGATGCTGGTTTGCAGCTATTCTCCTTTCATTTTTAATCCGGTCATTGGTACAAGAAGAAACACACACTGTCAAAGGGGGAGATGAAGGACAGGGAGATAGAGGATGAAGGGAGATATAGGATCCTCCTCTCAAACTGCACATGCTTTTCCCTGCTGCATCTCTCCGACAGCTAAAGCTGCCCAGCCGGGAGCTATCTAGAGCTCAGCTGCCCAGCACGCTGGCCACATCTTTCGCCACCTTTTTGTGGATGCGTTACAAGAAATGCACTGGCATTAACCCTGAAGCTCAGTCTGGACCAGAAACTGCCTACTAACACCAGTAGGAATGAAATGACATCAAAA